TGTGGAGTTTCAGAAACATATCTTGGCAATAGTGGAGTAGGAGGTACTTTTTATGCATTGCCTTCTTTATCTTATCCCACTTAGTTATCTTCTCACTGCTTTCTATTTTCCTTGGCTTTTGTAGATTTTTTCATCATAAGAAGGCATTTTTCTTTAGTTTAATTGCAACTAGTTTGACTCGCCTGCCCTTTGGTACATCTTTATTTTTGAAAATCCTTTCAACTGATTGCAGCTAGTTGATAAATTCATCTGGATCCATACCTTCTTCAATTACTAGGAAGTTCATCTTGTTACCTAAGTCCCGCTGACCTCTATAAGAGGCCTCTCCTCTCAATCTCTTTGGATACTGAATGTCGAAACGGAGTGATCGATATTCCTCATCACTATGATCTTCTCTATGGAACAGATTCATCTCCTCTTCTCTGTCTTCTCTTTGACTCTCTCAATCATAGTTGAATGTAGCATCTTTTTGGTTTCCGTCATCTAGTTGTGCTTGTCTCCATTGTAGACCTCGTTAAATCCCTTCTCGTGTCGAGTTCAGTGTACTTTTTCGCGGTGGCATGACTAGGGCTGGAAATCGGGAGGAAAAAAATTGGTGGAGTGGCTTGGGAGTGGGCGGATGTTACCCTAGGATGAGATTAGGGTTGGACCAACTTTGATACCAAATGACACCGGGAATGACACAAGTAAACACCTTTAAAATGTTTCCCAATGGGTGGCAGGGGTCGGTTGGAGGGATAGAGTTGTTCGGAAGGGATGATGGCAGCCGCAGGATGCGAGTGGCAGCGAGGGGGAGGTGCATAACCATAGGGACAACAAGTAGGAGGGGTTGTAGGTGGTCGGCAGTAGGCAATGGGGTGGCGGGAAGGAGTTGGGAAGGATATAGGAAGGCAGGGCAGCGTGGTACGACTGCTGGTAATGGTTAGTCGGGTGTTGGGGTGACGGAGAGGAAGTTCGTCAGCTGAGGAGGGGGGGGAGGAGAAAGTTTGGGGAAGGTAAGAGAAAATGATACAATCATCACCTTGGAGAAGGATACTGTCGGAGCACCACCATCTCCTCAAATACAACCTGCATAAGGGAAATGGGCTTCACACAGGAAAGTTGAAGACAACACAACCAGAATTGTCTCCCCACACACAAAGGACAACAATTTATGGGCTTTTTAGACAGAGGAAGTTTTTACAAAAAGGAAGAGAATAAGAAGGCAAGAAGAGTCCAGAAAAAAACGTAAAATTCCACTGGTAGCGCCATCCTGGATCGCTCAGGTTTGTGATCCCTCTCAGACTTTGCGTGGGTCCACGATCTTGCCCTCCCTACTTTTCCTGCGAAGCTTCGCGGGCCTTCGATCCCGTGGGATTGAATCGCCCTGTATTGTGGTTCATTCCACGTCGGCGTCACTGTTACCTCCTGTGTCAAGTATTTTCTCATCAAAGCTTTCTCTCTTATCAATTCAATAAGTTGTTGTAGCTTAGTGCAATTATCATCATTTAGATGATGTTGCTCAAATTTTAATGCTTTATATGTTTGCTTCTTAATGGAATCTCGTTTTGACCTCCTGCCTCATCTATTGATTCCACTCGTTTTTTGTATGTTATAACCATCTCTTTGTTGTATTCTTTGTATGTTATAACCATCTCTTTGTTGTATTCTCACCAACGTTCAATCTTTATATCAACAAGGATGTGTCTGTGTGTGTTCTTTGCTCATGTATTCCGATCGCTTGACATGCTCTCTCTTCATGCCATTTGACGTGCTTGTAGTAGATATTTGTGCATTTAGAAAGGGTACCAATGTAATGATCTTCTTACTTAACGTTTACTCTTTTGATGGATATGTTTTTTTTTTTTTTCATGAGACCACAGATTAAATTTTCTCCGAGTTATCATCACCATTTTTTCCTTTTTCTTCCAAATTTACTCTATGTAAGCTCACCCTTCTTAAACAATAACAACGTCCACATTGGCATCCACATTGGCCTCCGATTGAAGCTATGGGCTGCACTGCCTATGGAAATATTCAGGCTTCAAAAATGTATTTTTAGCAGCTATCCGGGCAGAGAGACTTTAGACGGACCAAAGCTGCAAGGAGTGATGGATGGTGTTAATCCGCCTATTATGAGTGATGAGGCAATTTGGGAGAATGTGGGACCGTGGACAGTGTTTATGAGATACAAGGAGAAGCTGCCGAGAAATCAGTTGTCCGGAGATGGTAAGAAGCCACACCAATCTACTAACAATAAGGTCGACGAGTCCAACAACAAGAGGGATGCTTGGGTTTCTCGCACTTTAAAAAACTGACCCCAGGATTTTTCAATTTCAATCCTCTTGGACAACCCTTAACAACTATGTTGCAGTTCCATGTTAGGAGGTACCCCTCACCTTTGGAATTTCCGATGAAGCCTCTAGGTGTGCACAAAACACCTAAAGAAAGGGTTTCTAAGTCCAACTTTGAGAAAGAGCCGCTCATATTGGGACCGGTGAAGGGGCAACGTAGAAATTGGAAGAAGGTGGTGGGCAGTTTTGGCGCTAAGAACCAACTACAGACAGCGGGGACGTGTCATCTTTGGTGGAATAATATGTACAATTCTTTTATGGAACTGTCGAGGGGCCCAAAAGAATGCTACCAGACACTTCCTCAAGCACCTTATTGGTGTACATAATTTGATTTTTATTGTTCTTCTAGAAACCAGATTCGAGCCTTTTACTCGTATGCAAATTGACAAAGTGGCTGTTGTCCGTTGGGACTTCAATTACCAACCTTCTATGGGGAAATATGGAGGTATTGTTGTTCTGTGGCCAAGGGATCTCTTAACCTTCACTATTGAAGAAAAGCAAGACCAATTTATTGTTGGCTCGGCAACTTTTCCTGACAAGAGTAAGTGGCGTATTTGCTCGATTTATGCTAGCATTGATGTCCATATTAGCTCCAGACTTTGGGACAACCTGGGTCCTCTTTGCGATAGCAGCACAGCCACGCTCATTGGTGGGGATTTTAATTGTATCATTAGCAAAAAGGATAAGAAAGGTGGTAGGCCTTTAAGTTTGGCAAAGGGTGGCAAGATCTTCTAGACTTCATGGCCGGATTTGGTCTGCATGACTTGGGCTTTATCAGTCCTCGATTTACGTTGAGTAATAACAAAGACAGAGCGAGTAAAATTTGGGTGCGACATTACTGGATTTTTGTGAATTCGGCCGCTATATATGCTTTCCCACCGCCACCACCAAAGATTTGATGCGTGCTGCTTTCGATAATTTTTCAATTGTTTTTATCATGGTTCCTCTACAATTTCATTCTCTCAAAATTATTAGATTTGAAGATATGTGGCTTTCCTATCTGGTTGCTTGGCAAATTGTGGGAAAACCTTGGAACAAAGGTGACTTTGGGTCCCATGCTAAAGTCCTGCATATGAAATGTAATTGAACTCTCAAAGTGCTGCATTATTGGAGTAAAAATAATTTCAGGGAGTTAGGGCCCCGTAAAACTTTTCTTGAAGTAGAATTATGAAGCTGCAAACAACTTGAAAGTTCCAATTTGGGTCTCCAACAGACCGAGGAGACTGCACTCTCATATCCATGAGTTCAACACTATTGTGCTAGGTTGCTGGCATGGTGGAAAATGAAGGGGACTAAAAGACGAAGTTCTCCATCATGTGGATTCCTCTAGGTACAAGTGTAACCCAATTAAGCGCATTCATCTTTCTGATGGTGGCTTCTTTGAAGAACAGAACACTATGTGAAATTGCTTATGGACTTCTATTGTGAAAAATGGCAAGGTTCGGAATTGTTGCTTGAGAGGTGGCCTGATGTCCACAATACTATTCATTCTCTGGTTGAGTTTTTAGTTTGTGCACACTATATACAAAGTTGTGGCTAAGGTGCTTGTCAACCATCTCAAAGGTACAATTTTTATGGATCAGATTGAAGAATGAGAGATTTACTAGATGCTCTTTTGGAAAGCTTAAACTTTGGGCTGATGGTTCTTTGATTGGCGGGGGACTTTTACAAAATTGACATATCTTATGATACAATATTTTTCCAATCTTCAATGATCATCTAGATGTTTTCAAGGACGAATGTGAGCCTCATTTACCGAGGAGGATGACACAGGCATGAACTACCCACTGACTTGTGAGGTTTCTAGGCCATTTTGGCCTGTCCAAAATAGTACCGGTTAGGGTTGTTCTGCATCAAGGGAAGACGCCATCCTTTGTGGACTTAATTAGGCATGCTTAGGAGTTGATTGGTTATTTTTAGTTTGCTTATTATAAATAGGTTGTGGTGATACCTGTTGAACACCTTTTATTTTGGTTTTTTTTTTTTTTAGTTATGAGGGATTATTTCATCTGATTTTTCTTTCTTTGGAGAATTGCATCTCCAGTTTCAAGTTGTATGTCTGTAACTTGATTGGGAATGGATGGTGGAACCTCGTTGTCCGTAGACCTCCGACATTGTTGCAGACTACCTCCCCTTAATTGTCTTTCCACATAAAACAACCCAGCTGCCTTATATCTTCCTTCCCAGATATCTTTTAATTTTCAAACATGACTATTTGTTTTTGCAATCTAATCGAAAAGAAAAATAAGTTGACCGACACCATCTAGAAAATTTAGATGGGTGTCAATATGGCGGAGAGTAAAGGTACATTTATAAATTATTTTTAGCCGAGTATGTTAGTAGATCCAAAGTTGGGGTCATGATGAGTAGTCAAATCTTGCTGTCCAAATGAACATATTTTGATGGGTTATGATAATTTTAGGAAGGATTGATTGAAAGATGATTATATTAGAGGATATTGGTAGCAATATTTAATGAAGATAGGCGAAAATGAGAGTAGTTGTGGGCATGAACATTAGAAGGTAAAAGATGCATCATTATGAGTGGTATATAAAATTGAAGTGAAATGATTAAGTAAAAAATGGTATATGCAAGATATTATGTACAGAATTGTATAAAAGAAATAGTGCAAATTAGAGTAGGTACCATAAGCAAGACTTAGTGGAAATGGATGGTGAATTGGTATTCATAAGGTTACCAAATGTTGGTTAAATCTAATATTGATGTTGATTAGGACTGTCCATTTTGACCCAAAGATCAATGCCGAGAAAAAATCATTTTGTTTTTTATATCATGCTCATATCAAAACTAATGAGTCGATTGCTGAGCCATGTTATGCTTAAATCAACTTGGAATTGAGCTCTGCTTAGATCATGTTGAATTATATTTATATCAAATTGAAATGTATATCTCCGTGTATACTTAAATAAATATATGTACATCTTTTCATCTATATGCTCATGCTTGTATGCTTGTAGGTTTGACTTATAGTTTGTTCTAGTACATGGAATTTGTGATCAAAATTGAATCAAAATTTTACTTTGATCCAGTGTGAATTGAAATAATTCTGGCAAACTTAGCTTGATTCGATTTCAATAAGATTCAACTTATATTCAATCCTTGCTTGGCATTTATGCTTCACAGTCTTAACATGATGACAATTTTAGTGACTTTTTGTTTGTTTGAAGTGTGCCTTCTTGTTTTTTATTTTATGATGAAACTGTGTTTCACCAATTTTACTTGTGTTATTTTTATATGATTGGATCAAGCTGAACTTTGGCTCTATATCTTCATAAGGAAGGATCGGTTACTTTTTGAAGGAGCACTATATTTTATGATTGGCTGTACTTTGTCGGCCAGCATTTTTCATCCAGCTGGTCTATTTTATTTGTCAGGCCCTTCTTGAGTACGAGAAAGACAAGGTTCGTAATGGTGAGCTCCAAATACCCGTGGCTTCTATTCCTGAGCCTATATCTATGGAGATTCAGGTGGGTTTCTTTGATTTGTTGTTTCAAATTTTTTCACGATTTATCGTTATGATTTGTTATGTCCTGCTGTTAAAGCCCTTTTCACTTTTTCAATTATTTATCTTTATTTCAGATTATTTCAGATTGGTTATCGTTTACAGTTTTTTCTGACATTTTTTAAGATTCTAGTAACATGCACAACATAACTGACATTTCTTCCCTTTTGATGCTAGAACCTAATTAGTCTTCGTGGTGGTTCCTTGGTAGTAATTGAGTTGCTTGCCGGTACCTGACTAATCTGCCTTCCAAAATTAATGAAGCACTATGAATTGTTTGTGGCATTTACATACATGGCACAGAATTCTTATGGATTTACGTATCTCACACCTAAGCTTTCATATTTACACACATCACTCAAACTTTTAATATCACATAAAAAATAGTACTATTACCATTTTTCAAAAGTGAATTACACCTTTTCATGCATAGGTTTAAATCACCAAAGCACTATATATGTACATATGAAAGTTTAGGCGTGAGATATGTAAATACATAAAATTTGTGTGCTAAGTATGTAAATTTCCATTTTTTTTTTGGCTTTAGATCATTTTTTACTTCTGATTGTTCTTACCATCTTTATTTTGATTACTCGTGTGGCAGTTTTCTTTCTATATGAATTCTTGGAATCAATATTGTTGAATGTTTTCAGCCAAATTAATGTCTCACTTGTTCTGAATCCTTATTGAAATCTTGATAATCGGCTGGTACTATCTCTCTGATTTCTTGGATAGATATCTATTCTGCCATAAGCCTTTTAACTATAGTTCCAATAAGTTCTTGGAAGAGGTGACGTGTAAGGAATGTTGGTTAAAATGAACCATAATCATCTTTATGTATGAAATGTAGAGCTTTCCATACTTGCTTTTTCTTGCTTATTGATATGTTGATGCTTTGATGCGAGTGATTTCATGTATTAGAATTGCCATGTTTCGCTATGTATTATTTTACAAATTTTTTATTCGATGATTGCTGTTTGTAGGATATTTTTCTTTGAAAATTTCACAATGAAAAAACTGTTTTTTGTACGGGAATTGATTGGTTGGAATTATACTTTAAAAATGGAAGTTATTGCTGTCATGGTGCTCTTCGGATAAACTCTTTCTTTGAAAATTTGATGATCTATTTAAAATTGAGAAGAAAGTAAATCGTGCACACTTTCTTATATAGAGCTTTCAATTACTTGATATGTTGGCGTTTATTGTGATGTTCAGCCTTCCAATGCGACTAATGTCACATTTCATTGTTTCCACGTTCATCCACGGATATGGTTTAGTGAATTATAGGTGCTACAGGTTGCTAGTTAGAGGGTATATTTTGCTGAAAATCTTCTACAGTGAATACTTTTGATGAGAATTTGAATTACCAGGAAGAGTTCCATTTGGAATGATAATATTGGAGGGTTGTCAGATCAAGAAGAGCTGGTGGGAGTGCTAGATAAGGACAATTAGAGGCCATGAATTCATTGCTTACTAGGAAATACCTCTCCTATATATATATATAGATATTTTATTGTCCTCAGTCTGCAGGATCCGGTGAATCACGAGCGTCTCTCTTTCTTCTGGTGGGAGTTGATACTCCTTGCCCTATTTCTTACAATTTTCCTTGTCGCTCATCTCTTTCACGACACCTTGATCTGTGAGAGTGACTACTCTGCTCGTTGGATAGCTGGAAGCTATGTGGCTATAGCCGTGGCATCGGCAACGCTTCCTAGGTGATACCTTATTGGAGGAGCTACCCTTCTCTGGTTTCTTACCGCTTTGATCCAAAGTGTCATACCCTTGTACGACCTTGCCTGTGTCTCCCGGAATATCTTTGTCGGTCGTGATAACTGTAGGTGATTATCTGCCTGAAGGTTGCTGCCTGAAGGATGATTGTTGTTTGTTTTGCTTCTGCTGTCTTTCCACCTTTAAGGCTAATCTCTTGACATCTTCTAGCGTTCAACACGGTTGCAGTTGCACCACATTCCTAATAACAGGCTTCAGCTCCCCAAGATATCGGGCTACTATACTTTCTTCTGGTTCTTTCAGTTCGCACTTCAGCTGTAAGTATCGAATTGGGCTGTGAATTCCTCCACTTAAAGCTCCCGTTGTTGTAATTGTGGAGTTTTAAGAATGTCCTGGCGATATTGCGGTGGGAGGTATTTCTCTGCATTGCCTTCTTCATCATCTCCCACTTAATTATCTTCTCATTACCTTCTCTTTTCTTCCGCCTTCGTAGATTTTCCACAAAAGGAGACATTCTACTATAGTTTAATGGCAGCTAGCTTGACTCGTTTGTTCTCTGGTACGTCTTTATACTTTGAAAATTCGTTCAACTGATTGCAGTCATTCGATAAACTCATCGGGGTCCATACCTCCCTTAAATTCTGGGAGGTCCATCTTGATGCTAAAGTTCTGCTGACTCCCATAAGTGGCCTGTTCTCTCGACCTTCTTTGGTATTGGATATCAAAACGACGTGATCGATATTCCTCGTCACTGTGATCTTCCCTGCGGAAGATTCATCTCTTCGTCTCAGTCTTCTCTTTGACTCCTCGATCACAATCGAAGGTAATCTCTTCCTGGTTTTCATCATGCAACTCTGGTAGTCTCCGTTGTAGACGATAGATTTCTCGTTTAATCTTTTCCCAGGTCAAGTCCGGTGTATCTCTTCGCAATGGCATTGCTAGGGTTTGGAATTGGAAGGAAAAAATCTGGTAGCAGCTGCTTGAGTAGGGGTGGATGCTAGGAAACCCTAGGATGGGATTAGGGTCGGGCTAGCTCTGATATCAAATGATATCGAAAATAGTAGGAAAAACAATGGAAACACAAAAACAAACTTTCATTAATCTTAAAATAGGGTTACAACATAACACAAACGAGAAATGATAACACAAAGCATAAATTACCATAAGCAAACACCTCTCGTGTATTCCAAGGGTGATGGAGGCCGGCGAGATGGGTCGAGATGGCTAAAGCGGGTGGTGGCAGCGAGGGGGAAAGTGCATAATTGCGGAGACAACAAATATGGATAGTCGTAGGTGTCTAGCGGCAGGCAGAGGTGTGGCTGGAAGGTGTTGGACAACAAGGGCGGCGGTGGTGAGGAACAATCAGTTGGGAGTGCTGGGAAGGAGGGAGGATGGTTGGATAGCAAGGTAAAGCTGCAGGTATGGGGAGATTGAGTGCAGGAAATGAAGTAGAGGATAGACCGACGACCATGGAGGGGAGGAGACAAGATTAGGAAAGATGAAAGGAATGGATACAAAACCACCTCAGAGTAGGATACAACCAGAACACCACCACCTTCTTTGCTACAACTTTAGAACAGGAAAAAGGATTCCACACAAGAGATATAAAAATAAACACTGCAAGAATTGAGTCCACGCACAGGGGACGACAATTTATAGACTCCCAAGAAACTTCTAGACAAAAGGAGAAGAGGGTGGGCAAGAAAAATCCACAAAACGCAACAACCCACGAAGCTTTCCTGGATTGCGATAGTTCACGTCTCTTCCCGCCTTTGCGAGAATTCGTTATCCTCGCCCCACTTCTGCCATCTTGATTCTTTGCGTGGGATTCTAGCCCCACGGAATCAAAGCGCCGGTCCCGGGCATTTTTTTAGCTTCTGCATTAGGGCGCTGAGAGCACCCTGAATTAGGGGTGCAGTTAGCGCCTGTGATAGGGAATTCACTATTTAAATGTGTTTCTTGATTTAGACATTTAATTTCATTAGACTCGGATGGGCCTTCGAGCAATCCGAGTTGAAGGTGGCTAAAAATCTGATAGAAAGAAGAATATTTGGGGATGCCTTTGAGTTCAACTTCTATCAATAATCACATGATGACTTGCCAATGCTCACCTTATGAAGAGGAGAGATAAAATGCATTCCTATTAGGACCTTGCCTGCTAATGGGGCTTGTAAAAGGGAAATTTTTTTTGTTCAGACTCCGAATGTAGCTCTACGTGCAAACTCCAATATTATGGCGACATCTGTGTTAAATTGCAGAGGCTATTTCGGGGTTATTAAAATGGAACCGCATAGGTTATTTCTGGGTTATTGAAGAAGAACTCATATATTCCACTTCAATAATTTAGAAATAACCTCCGCGGTTCCACTTTAATAATTTAGAAATAACTTCCACGGTTTCACTTCAATGACCCCGAAATAACACTGCTGGTGTTATTTCTGGATTATTGAAGAGAAACCATTTATTACAATTCAATAACCCCGAAATAACCCAAAAATAAACTCTACGGTGTTAGTTATGTGTTATTGAAGAGAAACTCACTGCGGAGGTTATTTTGGGATTATTTCTGGTTTATTAAGGAGTCTACGGTTTCACTTTAATATTTTTTAGTTGGGCCTGAAATAGCACCCATGGCGATATATTACTGGGAGTCCGCTCGTAGAGCTACGTTCGGAGTCTGGACAAAAACCCTGTTAAAGTGGGTATTATCTTCATCAATTTGAAAAGGCTTAGCAAAATTGATAATGAAGAGTATAAGGTTGATTACTTGGTGAAATGGAAAGGTAATGTAGGAAAAAAACATCCAACATGGGAGACAGGCGGTTCCTTAAAAGCATTAAAAGAGATGATTGCTTCATCTTTCTCATTGAAGAAAACACATTGTTGTTTATATGTCACCAGAGCTTGATGTTATCCTACTTTAGGGAATGTTTGATGATAATATGATCTTGATACTTGTGAATGATATTTATGTTGGGATAGCTCAAAAGTTTCAATGATTGTGAAGTAGAATGGTTGAACAAGTTTTGAGATCTCAATACCAATAAAGATAAGCACACATTTGTCTTGTGAAGTAGAAATTTGTTTTTTCAGAATATGATACTTCATAAAAAAAATGTGCTTGCATAGTGAAATTTAATGTTTGAACAAAATCAATAACAATAAGCACAAGTTTGTCTTGGGAAGTAGAAATTTGTTTAGTTGACAATCTGGGACTCGAAAAAAATATATGTTTGC